TTGAATTTTTCTTTAAATTTTTAAAAATCCTTTTTGAGTTATTTTAAATTATAAAAAGAAAATTATTTTCCAATTGGGATATTACAATGGACCGATTACAATGCTATCTTACCAAATATCCTAATACCAAATATGATGAAAAGTCTAATATAACATAAATTAAATCGGAATGGAGAAAGGTGGAAGAAGAATGACAAGAGGTGGACGAGGAAGTGAAAGAGGACTCAGAGGAAAAAATTACAATTGTATTAAATAACGGTAAATATCTTTTATTTATATTAAATTAATCAATAAGCAATAATTAATTCATTCCTTTTCAGAAAATTATTTCATATCTATGAAATAATTTTAACAAACTAATAAAGTAAAAAAAAAGCAATTTAATAAAACGGAAATTAAAAAGATATTCCAAATTCCAAACAATTGACTTATTTGAATAATACTTTACAACTTTTAATTAAAATTGACGGTACATTATCAGAAACACTTAAAACAAATTTACCAATAAATTTTTATTAATTCACAATCTTCATAATAAAGAAATTATTTTATTAAATAACAAGACATTGGCTTTTATCTTAATTGATCTTGTCTGGTTTTGAAATCAACAAGCAATATAACTGTCAACTAATCTCATACAATAAATTGAATTTGAGCCCCATCAAAAAGAATATAATAAATAAACAAACATTAACAACAATGAATTTCTACTAATTAATTTACGTGCACCAAAAAAAAATCAAATTAAATATTCGCTAATGAACCTTTCCTCCCTATCACATTCATATCCCTACAACTAAATAGCCTTATCCTGATATCCCGAATTTCCCTTACATTTGTCTTTCTTTTATCCTCGCCTTCCACATATAATTTTTCGAAAGAATTGTTAGAAAAGCGAAGTCTAACAACAAACAAGCTCCACAAGTGATAATACTATAATACAATACTAATAAATACTAATAATAAATAATACAAAAATAAATTAACACACAACAAAATCCATTACAACACTATCTTACCAAAGAGCTAAACACAATCTATACTTAAAAGGGATGAATGTACCATAAATTAAGTACTGACTCTAAAATATAATATTGTAAAATTTTTCCATAAAACCAAACTAAAACATGCAAATTACCTCCGCCCAAGTTGCCAATAAGGTTTAAATTTCACCCTGACCTAATACAATACTGAAAACTAAAAGGTAACTTAAAGAATACTAAGTATCCGATTTCTAAAGTACGGTTGTGATTTTAACAAATATAACAGCACATTCCAATTCTGGAACTTTCATTTAAAAGCTTTTAAAATAAAACCCAAAAGAATACGAACATGATTCATATAACCTTCAACCTAAATTGTCAATCCATAGATCTAATTAATGTTCTTCCTCCAAATCGGATCGGTCCAATTTCATAGATTATTAATAACATACATGAAAACATAACATACGTTAGACATGTCTTTTTCATAATTGTTCGAAATAAAACTTTTCGAAATTATTTTCCATTTCTTTTAATTTGCTTTAAATAACACATTAAAAACATAATGTTTTCCGATTTATTGCTCCTCCCCAAAAACAAAATCATTTTCTTAGAATTATTCTTGCAACCTCCCGAATACTTTTTCACCTAATTCAAAATTAATTGCTACAAATATAATTGGTATAAAATCCTTCTTAATCTTATTTCTAAAAGGTCATGTCTTCTAAAAAAATACCACCCAATTGCATATGGTCCATGAATAAATTTATTAAACAGAGAAGAGAAAATGGTTAATAAAACTTTCACTGGCGGCAGCTTATTTGATTTAAATTCTAAAAGTTGGTCATGACATCAAAGCACTCTTCGAAACCGAAATCGTCTACATTTATAAAAATCGTGTCAAAGAGACAAGAATTTTTTTATTGTTTATGAAACATTTCCTTAGAAATTATTAGAAATTTGTGAAATTGAATATACCTGATAACATCGAGCGTTTACGACTACTTATACCATCATAATTTACTTCGGTATTTTAAAATGTTTTTTATAAATAGCTAGTTTTCACGTTTAATAATCAATAATCGACAAATTCTGCCTGAACAAATCTAACATACAAATTTTTGTAATATGTTATTCGTAAAATTTGTTATTAAAATATTGAGACAACAGAATTTTGAATATTAACATATTAATATCGCTATCTACAGATTTAAACAATCCAAAAACATGACAACTCCGACCATTGAAATAGAAGATAATTTAAATGATAAGTATATATTATTTTATTATAAAAATACCGTATTTACATTTTTTATTTATTTTCTTAAACACTTGGATAAATTACTCAAAAGAAAATTGCTAAAGTATTACAATTTTAATAAAAATATCTTATCAACAAAAAAATAATTCAACAAAATAGTTTTAAAAAACGTCAACTTAATTCATTTAAAAAATATTGAAAAATAATAACCTCATGATTAAACAATAAGTAAATATCATATTAATTGAAAATTAAATAACCTACTATAGCACTTTTCTAAATTTTCATTTAAATGTAAATTCAATTAATATAGACACACATATTTTTTCAAAAATTTCTAAATTATAAAAAATTCATAAAAATAATATTACAGATCTTCCACCTATTGATGTACAAGAAAAAAATAAAGACAGGGAAATGAATGGTAAGTGTAATTAAGAAACCAATAATTAATTTTTTAGATTTAATTAGTAGTAAAATCAAAAAATTGCAAAAATTAAGAGTTTATTATTACTAAAATATATATACAATAACAATTACTTTAAATAACTACTAATAAAATTCTTCCCATTACTTTTCGAGATAAATAAGAGATATGGCAAGAAACTTTCTACTTCTGCATAACAATTTTTTATGCGAAATAAGCCCAGATATAATGACAATATTCTATTTACTATATATACTGTTTTTTATTTAACGTCTAGATAAAATTGAAGATTTAAAAAAAAATATCCAAAAATCCAACAAGTAGAAATTGAACAATTAAAAAAAAAAAAGAAAACGAAAAAGAAGAGGGAGGAATTGGGTATAAGAGAGGGGAAAGAGGACAACGAAGTGGTGGCCGGAATGGAAGAGGTGGAACAAGAGCCGGAAGAGGTGGAAGAAGAGCCGGAAGGGGTGGAAGACTTTTTTATTTATATTACATTTTTACATCATTAGAAATTAATGCATAATTAAACAATAAGTAATAATTAATTTATTACATTTCAGAAAATTATTTTATATCTATGAAATAATCTTAATAAAATGAAGTAAAAAAAAACAATTTAATAACACTGAAATTAAAAATTTATTGCAAATGCCAAAAAAAACTTAACTTTTCTTAACAATTATTTACAATTTTTAATTAAAATTAACAACACATTAAATAATATATTGCCTCTTATCTTAATCGATCTTGTCAGGGTTTGAAATCAACAAGTAGTTAGTACAACTGTCAATTTATCTGATATAACATAGCATATAACAAATAAGCAAACATTAACAAAAATGAATTTCTACTAATTTATTTCCTCACGGGCACCAAAAAACAAATCAAATTAATTTTTGGCTAATGAACCTTACCCAATCACATTCATATCACTCAGACCTGTGGTCCTTTGATCGGCACCTTCGACATAAAATTTTCAAAAGAATTGTTAGAAAAGCGAAGTCTAACAACAAACAAGCTCCATAAGTAATATCACTATAAGCAAAATAATACAATAAATAAAAACAAAGAAAAATAACCACACAACAAACTAGAAATTGGTTCCATTGTATGGATTAAGTGTTCTAAGTGTCTAGTGAACGTTATAAGTGTTTATTCGTTGTCGGTCCCGCTGTTTTTTCCTGTCCACGCCCGTATGGTGGCCGGATAGGTCCGAATGGTCCACGGGGGTAGCGAGGGAAGCCGTTTTTCATGATCGGTCGAAGATTTTTGAATAAAGTTTTATTGTTGTTTCTGCTCCCCTCGGAGAAGATGGATCTATCCAGTCCCTTTTAATTGAGGCACTCTCCAGGATTATAAAGAAAGTGTCAAACTATTTGTGTAAGTGGCCGAGTGACCCTGGTCGATTTGCTCAATAGAAGTAAAAGAAAAAGATCTTTATATCCATTTGTTTTTAATATTTTTGTTCTGCAAATAAAATGACAATACCAAGTTAATCAAACCCCTTGCAATAACTTGAAATAAAAAAAATCATGGAAAATAGTATAATCTTGAAACCACTACTGTTGCTTAGGTACCTAATAATGTATTTTCTGTAGGTTTTCTTTTAGTATAAATTTAAGGTAAAAAACAAGTTTACACCAGCTTAAATGTTCTTGAAACTAGTATAACACAAATAACTAATACAAAGGACTCTACAACAAGCGAACTAAACTTCTGTTATACTTATCAGCTACTAATAAAATTTATATTACAAAGAAAATAATAAATTGCAACGATATATTATATATATATATATATATATATATATATATATATATATATATATATATATATATATATATATATATATATATATATATATATATATATATATATATATATATATATATATATATATATATATATTCAATTCGAAAACATGGCCAGGCCCTGAATATTCATCGCTCAAGTGTGCAACGGATTTTAAGCAAAGACTTACGGTTCCATCCCTACAAAATTCAATTGGTGCAGTTTCTAAAGCCCACAGATTACGAATTACGAAAAAATTATTGTGAGGCAATGATGAATATGTTTTGGAACGAAGGAGGATTGGACAACATTTTATTCAGTGATGAGGCTCACTTCCATCTAGAGGGGTATTGTTAACAAACAAAACTGTCGCTTTTGGAGCCCCGACAACCCCAAGAAAAGCATGAAAAACAATTGTGCCATGTCAGCTACTGGAATAATTGGGCCCCCTAAATAAAAAGGATCAGTATATTTAAAACACTCTTTTTTATTAATCGAGGTATTAGTTACAAGATGTCAAAATCAATGTAAACTTTTACTGTTTTCTTAACTTCAGCAAATGTTGTATTTTGGATTTTATGACGGATACACTTCTCTTAGAGTTAAAGGTTGTAATAAATTCTCTTATTTTAGCTGACGGTGGGTAAGTGTTTGTTTGGAGGTATTGTGCAAACTCCTTCTGGATGCAATTCACTTTATTCTCGCTCCATACTAAAATAAAAAATATTTTTCATAAAACGTGTTCGAAAAATTAGTTAAGGTGTGTTTGTCGTTATTTTATAAATTAGTATTTGTCACTTACATCGTTTATTTACAACTTTGGAGACTTTTGGCTTATCTGAAAGAAACAGTGTTTTGTCAAAAACACACAACTGTTTTACTTATATTCGCACTAGTATTATTAGTTTTTTGACACCACAGTAACAAAATAAATTTATTAAAAACAAATCTGACCCAAATTTTCGTTAACTCGAATCGGTTTATTTTTACCTCTTATTCTAATGAACCATGCCTATGGCAGTATAACTGAGTAAAAGTAATAAAAACATAGAGAATTACCTATATCAGCAGTTTCTTGATCTTCGTTCTTTTTAATGTTTTCAGGAATTGGTTGGTCAAAAATATTATTATCTTTATTGGCTTCAATATTTTCTTTTCTGCACACAAACAATATTTCATTGTCTTGTGTGGGCGCATTTGGTGACGAGGATTCTGAAACCATTTAGATATAAAATGGCAAACTAGTAGTAAACAGAAAACTTTTTGCATGACTACCTTTAGGTTCATTTTCTTCGGGATAGTCAATATCAATGTCTATTTCGTTTATCGATTTGCCTTTATATTCGACAGGAAGGGTTCCTTTTTCCATCATCAATAGTATTTTTGAAACCTTTGCGGTCTGGTAAATATCTACAGGCAGCCTGGAATAACAAGTATGAAATTCATACACAAATAAGACTACCTAATTAGCAAACAAAAAAAGAAGACAAGAAAAGAAAAGTGCCTCAACTATGCAAGTTCACACAAGTTATTTTTCTTCAATGGCCTTGTTTTTGTGCAATATTAACATGCGAAAGACAATACCTTTTGGACAGATCGCACGTCTGTCCTTGTATATATATAATTTTTTTTATTATTTTAATTTTTGGTAATTTGCAAAGAGAGAAAGTTTTCTTATGTTTAGTCGGGTTTTTGGGACAAATAATTTTGTGCGTACTCAAATAAAAATTTAAGTTGCTGGAACATTTTTTACCGCGGTATTGCCGTTAAAAATTTTTTTTGGGTCAAGCCGATCGGGAGTGCATTAACATTCCGTGTGCGGCAGCACCGAGATCTGTTGCGCGTTTTCCGCGAAGGGAACTTTAATTCTAAAGATTTTCGTTGCGCGTTTTTATGTTGTCCGTGGCGTAACACCAGTAGGAAGCAGGCCTGCTGAGGAGACGGATGCGTGCGCTTAAGGTGAGACCTTAAAGTTCTTTAGCGGCCCGTTTGGCGATCGGTAGTATTTCTAAATTTTTAAAGCCTACAGTCCACTTTAAAGCTCTTCCGAGCTCGCCGCCCATTTTCTTTTCATATCGGTGGTTATTCCGCGAAAAGAAATTATTTGGTCCTTCGAGCCGGATTCGGCAGTTTTTAGCCTTAGCTACGCAACGGAAAACATTTCTCTCTTACAGAAATTAAAATAAATTCATTATTTCAATCCGCATTATTTTGATTTCGATTATTACCACGGAGAGGGCACAATTTTAATTAAGTTACTTGAAATTGGATTTAAACATTTTCTGTCAAGATCTAATTCTTGAGCAAAACAAAAAAAATGATGACCTTCGCATTCCGTTTTATGTACCTTTCGTCCATACAATACGCAGTTGTTCATTTTAGATAATTTAATTTTTAGTCAGGTAAATAGAGCAGGGCACATAATTTAATATTAGTGTGTGAAGAGTTTGACCAGTTTTTATTAGGTTTGAACCGTTTATTTTTTACTCACCGAAAAGAAAAAAAAATGGGTGATTATAAAAAGAATAAAGTACTCCGGTCGACTGAAATTCATAAATTGAACGAAATATACGATGTTGCTCTGAAAGTTAATGCCGAAGATGAAAGTTTTTATCCCATTCTTGAAGCTATGTATAAAGAACTTGAGGAAACTCGAACAAATTTTTATAAAATTCACAATAAAATTATATCAATCATATGTGATAAGAAAAATGCGGATGAACTATTCAAGATTGAGGATGATTTTCGAAAAAAATTCGATATTCAATATTATAGAATTCAAGCCATTTATACGCAACGTTTAATGAAGCCGACGACGCAATCTGTGGCTATACCGGGTGAACAATTGCCCATCTCTGCATATTTAATTTTACCCAAGCCTGAGTTACCGACATTTAGCGGAGAAGTTACCGAGTTTCGGAGTTTTCTCGATCAATTTGATGCCCGTGTTCATACGGTCCCCCACTTAAAAGCGATTGACAAATTTAACCTATTAGTTTCTTGCTTGAAAGGTGTCGCTCGGGACGCTGTCGACCAGTTGGATATCACAGCAGATAATTACACAATTGCTTACGATTTACTAAAAGAAAGGTTCAATAATGTGAGAGTTATTGCTTCAAATTTATGGAATAACCTCGAATGCTCACCCAAACTTACCTCAGATAATTCAAAAGAGTTACGCTCTTTATTAGATACGTTTTCAAAAAATGTCGCAGCTTTGCAAAAACTAGGGTTACCCACGGAACACTGGGACTTTATACTTGTTCAAATGATGCTGAAAAGACTCACGGTTTCTCTAGTTACACGATTTGAACTTCATCACAACGACAGTACTATGCCAAGTTATGCTAAATTAAAGCAATTATTAATTTTCAAACTAAAACAAAGCAAATTTTTCTCAAAAAGCCAACTTTCTCCAACTCTACAGCAATGCTGCCTCAAACTGAAAATCCACCAAAATGTCCTGTTCGTAAAAATTCTCATTTTATTTATAAATGCAGCGAGTTTTTGGAAAAATCTCCCGCAGAGCGCTACAATCTGGTTAAGAGGGGAAAAATGTGCGTAAATTGTTTAGGCTCTCACCGTTTTAGTACCTGTACCTCTACGTGGAGTTGTCATATGTGCCACAAAAAACATCACACATTACTTCACTTTCAGTCACCCCCCGCTAACAATGATTCGCTTAAGCTCTCTGACCACATAAATCCATCAACCGTAACTGCAGTTTTTCTTCAGCCAATTCGAGCGTTTTACTTTCCACTGCTTTTGTCGAAATACTCGACGGTCGCGGAATCTACCAACCGATACGATGCTTACTCGATTCAGGAAGTATGTCGTCATTCATAACTCAAAAAACAGTTAGCCGGTTAGGTTTACGACCGTCTCTCCTAGAGGGTTGTATAAACGGTTTAGGCGCCATGCATTCGCAAGCAGATTTAGGTGGAGTAACTATATCTTTTAGACCGATGTATCAAACTCATCCTGTTTTAACCACTGACGCTTTAATTCTGAAAAAAATTTGCGAAGACCAGCCTGCTTTGGACATTAAACATAGTCACTGGTCCCACTTAACTAATTTACACTTGGCCGATGACCAATTTTCCCGCAGGGGCCCTATAGACCTCCTTCTGGGTGCCGACGTCTTTTCTAAAATTCTGTTGGACGGACGCATCCCTGGATCTAAAGACCAGCCCGACGCAATTAATACAATCTTCGGCTATGTCCTTATGGGGAAAATAAATCATTTCAAAGCGCCTGCACTCGCTACGTTGTTTTGTCATCTTGAGGACACGGTTTCCCTTGATCAACAATTGGACAAATTCTGGGAATTAGAGACACTTCCTGATGCACCTCGTCTATCTCCCGATGACATTAAGGCGGAACAAACATTTGTCAGCACACACCGGCGAGAGCAGCCGTCTGGTCGGTTCATCGTCGACTTACCTTTTAAGGAAGAAGCCCCTATCTTCCCAAATATCCGATCTCTGGCTTTACAGAGGTTTTATTCCCTTGAGCGGAGACTTAAGAAGCAGCCTGAGATTTACTCGCAATATCGCGATTTCATGAGCGAATTTATTGCGCTTAACCACATGGAATCTATTCCAGACGATTCGTTCAGTCCCCTCAGTGTTATTATCTATCCCACCATTGTGTTTTAAGGCCGGAAAGTTTAACCAGTAAACTAAGGGTGGTTTTTAACGGTTCCGCACACCTTCCCAACCAGCCTTCCCTCAATGATATATTCACCGGTCCAAAACTCCAGAGTGATATATCTATAATATTATTAAATTTTCGTTTATTCAGTTGTATTCTGACCGCCGACATTTCCAAAATGTATCGTCAAATTTTGGTTAATCCGCTTCATACGGACTACCAACGAGTTTTTTGGCGCAACACGCCTAACGAGCCTGTAAAGGACTTTCGAATAAACCGAGTCGTGTACGGTCTTTCTTGTTCGCCTTACCTCGCAATACGATGTCTGCACCAATTGGCGGTCGAGGAAGGGCATAAATATCCCCTAGCTGTCAAAGCCCTTAAAAGGAACACCTACGTTGACGATATTGTCGTCTCTTGTTGTTCGATCCACACTGCTTTAGCTTTGCGCGATGAACTCATCGCATTATTAAACACGGGCGGTTTCGAGTTAAAGAAATGGTCCAGTAACAGTCCCACCGTATTGGAGGGAATTCTGACATCCGATCTGGCGATTAACCCCCTTGAATTTGTAAGCAAACTGTCTTCCCCGACTCTAAGGGTTTTAGGATTAGAATGGGATGCTCCATCCGATACCTTCAGATTTAAAGTGAAGGCTTTTGATTCCGGTTGCACGAAGCGACTCCTTTTGTCCAACTTAGCACGGATATTCGACCCCTTAGGCTTTCTATCTCCCGTCACTCTCCTCATTAAGCATATGATTCAAAAAATTTGGTCTCAAAAAATCGGTTGGGACGACAAACCCTCAACGATATGGTTCGTTGGTGGGAGAAGTACGTATCCGAAATTTCTGTCCTTGGAAATCTAAATATTGCGAGACGCCTTTTACCTAATGAGATGTCCAAATTGGAAATTCACTGCTTTGGCGACGCTAGCGAAATAGGTTACTGCGCTGTGTTATACTTTCGATGTTTAACGTCGTCAGCCTCACCCGTCCTTCATTTCGTAACGGCTAAATCTAAAGTCGCGCCTGTCAAGAAAATAGTATCAATTCCGCGTCTGGAATTATGTGCAGCCGTGTTAGCGGCTCGCTTGGTGTCATTTGTGGCCACGGCTATTAAGTCATCCGATATCGAAGTTACGGATATTTTCTGTTACTCTGATTCCACGGTTACTCTGGGTTGGTTGAGATCCTCTCCGCACCGTTGGAAGACTTTCGTCAGTAACAGGGTGTCTTTTGTTCAGGAAAGAGTTAATCCTTCCAGTTGGCATTATGTCTCCTCTAGAGAGAACCCCGCTGACCTTGGATCCCGTGGTTATTTACCTTCCGAGTTAGTGAACAGTTCTCTATGGTGGGCGGGGCCATCCTTTTTGCATTGCAATCCCATTATTTTAGAACGTGACCCCACCGACGTCCACGACCACGAATTAGAGGCTCGCACCTTAAACTTCCATACCACCCAAGCTTCCACAAATTTTCTAGACACCATGCTCGAGAACTCTTCATCCTTAAACAAATGTGTTCGGTCGCTGAGTTATTTGGTACGTTACGTGCATTACTTGCGTAAATCGAATAAATTGGAAACCGATTTTCTGACATCCTTCGAGACTTACAATTCTCTGCTAATTTTCGTAAGACGCTCGCAAGACCTATTTTTTAGTCACGAACTCCGTCTTCTTAAGGATGGTAAACCTTTTGCTAAAAATTTCAGGAAACTATCTCCATTTCTTGACGATGCTGGAACTTTGAGAGTGGGTGGACGATTAAGTCAAGCAACCATTTCCTACGAACGTAAATTTCCTGCGTTACTTCCTAGCCAGTGCCGATTAACTGAGATGATTATCGAGTCGACTCATGTACAGTATTTACACGCCGACATCCAAACTGTCCAAATTTCCCAGCGTTTCTGGATTCTTTCTCCAAAACGAGCAATCCGAAGGGTTTTGTCCAAATGCGTCAAATGCTTTCGAGTAAACCCCACGTCGCCTGTTCCTTTAATGGGAAACTTATCCATAGCGCGCATTTCCGAACTTAAGCCCTTCAGCACCGTCGGCGTCGATTTCGCAGGATCTTTCCCAATTGTAATGTCCAGGATTCGAAAGGCACCGATCCTTAAAGCATACCTAGCACTCTTTATTTGTTTCTCCACCAAGGCTGTTCACCTGGAGCTAGTGTCAGATCTGTCCACGAGCGCATTCTTAGCTGCCTTCAAACGATTTGTCAGCCGCCGCGGCAGATGCGATAACATTCATAGCGACAACGGCACAAACTTTTCTGGGGCAAGTAAAGAATTAAACAGGCTGGCTGAAACCGCCGCCAATCACCACTACATTAAGTGGCACTTTATTCCCCCCTCATCTCCACACTTTGGAGGACTATGGGAGTCCAACATCAAAACGGTTAAGGGTCACATAGCCCGTACGATTGGGGAACAGGTATTAACTTTTGAGGAACTCTACACTTTATTCACCCAAATTGAAGCGATAATGAATTCGCGTCCGTTATGCCCTCTAAGTGAGGATCCGAACGACTTGAATGTTTTAACGCCCGGGCACTTCCTCACAATGGAGCCTTTGAACGCCCCTCCCGAGGACCTCGTGCAACACGTCCCAATCGCCTTTCTCGTTGGCAGCTTCTCTCCAAATTTCACCAACAGATCTGGACTCGATGGTCTAAAGAATATCTCCATAAGCTCCAACAAAGAGCCAAATGGAACAGTCTCTCTGCAAATGTAAACCGGGCGCTTTAGTGATTATAAAACAGATCAACTCACCTCCTTTACAATGGCCCATTGCTCGTTTAAGCGAAGTTCATCCCGGACCTGATGGTGTCGTCCGAGTGGCTACCTTCCGGACAAGCACTGGCGTTTTCAAACGCCCCGTGATTAAGTTGTGTCCCTTGCCTATCAACCCATGACAATACTGCGTATTGTGGTGGGCGGTTATGGACAGATCGCACGTCTGTCCTTGTATATATATAATTTTTTTTTATTATTTTATTTTTTGGCAATTTGCAAAGAGAGAAAGTTTTCTTATGGTTAGTCGGGTTTTTGGGACAAATAATTTTGTGCGTACTCAAATAAAAATTTAAGTTGCTGGAACATTTTTTACCGCGGTATTGCCGTCAAAGTTTTTTTTGGGTCAAGCCGATCGGGAGTGCTATTAACATTCCGTGTGCGGCAGCAGCGAGATCTGTTGCGCGTTTTCCGCGAAGGGAACTTTAATTCTAAAGATTTTCGTTGTGCGTTTTTATGTTGTCCGTGGCGTAACACCAGTAAGTTCTGCGAATTGAGTAGCAAAACTTACAGAAAAGAGGAAGCAGGCCTGCTGAGGAGACGGAGGCGTGCGCTTAAGGTGAGACCTTAAAGTTCTTTAGCGGCCCGTTTGGCGATCGGTAGTATTTCTAAATTTTTAAAGCCTACAGTCCACTTTAAAGCTCTTTCGAGCTCGCCGCCCATTTTCTTTTCATATCGGTGGTTATTCCGTGAAAAGAAATTACCTTTTTTGTAAAGAACTAGTCAGCAACTCAACCTTAAGTACCTATAATTTAAAGTTCGTAGAAACATGGCTGCGAACACTTTGTTTTGGGATCTGAAACGTTTACTCTTTTGTGGAAGCTCAATATTTTTTTTATGTTAAATATCTACAGGGTGGGGCAACTTTTGATCAGTTAAATTTATCCTCAAGTTTTTTGTGTGATTCCACTTACTTTCATTAATGATTGAGATATTAAATTAAATAAAAACATATTAAATATTACAGCTTGGTTTTTAAACATTGTAAATTTATGTTAATAAAACAAAAAAGTAAAAATGAAATTTTGTTACTGCAATACGATTATTAGAAATTGTCCCCCCGTAACTACAAATTCTTGCATTTTAAGAGATACGATAATTTTGCCTGTGTTTATTTCGATATGTGCTTATCCATTTGATATTTGATATTGCAAATTAATTACAATTGCAATTAAAATATTGACAGAAAAAAACTTAGTTTGAACTGTTTATTAGTTTGTTTGTTTGTTAGTTGTCATTAACAAAACTAAGATTTAAAAAATATCTTACTCATAGTATTCATCGTGAGTTTTCTGGGTATGGCCCATAAAATTCGCAAATTGCTTCGTTTCGTTTGGTGTCATATTAAGTATTTGCATGACAGTAGCGATGTGCTTTCGTAATTTGTTGCTAGAAATAGCATCTGGATTCTGCAACTCAATTTTTTTGGTTAGCATTCTAATGGCGACATCACCTTTGCCCCACTTTATCTTGCTGCCAGGTACGGCGAAGACATAAATGTTTTCTTCTGAAATATATTTATTTCTATTACCCAACATAGTTTCAATAAAATCTTCCAAGTAGATATATAGTGCCGATATAAGCAGCAAAAACCGCACATAACCTCAATTTCCTAACCCCCCCGCAGCGGGGGCCCCCCGCGCGTGGCGTCCTAGTGTCCCCCCTGGCTACCAGAGTGCGCTCCGCCCCCCACCCAGCTTGTGTAGCGTCCTGTTTTGCCCCGGTTCCGCCCGTCGCTGCTAGATGTCGCGCGCTCCGACCGTCGTAGGCCACCCCGGTAGAGGGCGGTGACGGTGCGGCGCGGAGACGGTGTGGCGCGGTGACGCGGGGGA